AGAACTGGAGCGTCCACCCCAGATCAGCATTCTTTTACCACTGAAGCGTCTCCTCCAGAGCCGCCTACAGTTTTGTTCTCATTGATCCCAGTTTTCAAGGACTCACCAGTGGGGGAAGACAACCAGCTGTTCTCTGTGCCAGAGGGGTGGTCCTTCTATCCCACCCAAGAGCACAGAGAGGGCCCTGGAAAAGGAGCCATTCTCCCTCCCACTGCCACCCCCAACCCACACACACAGCTTATAAGCCTGTGTCGATAAGCAGGAAGCACCCCATGCCTAGGTCTTCCACCTAGAATCCTACTCAGGACAGCAGGCTTGGGCATGTAGGGCAGATGTGAGACATCAGGGAGCTCTATCTCCCGATGGAGGCATTTCGTTCCTTCTGAGTTCCTCTGTTCAAATGCCTGGGGACCATGGTGAAGTCCTTTCTGTATCACTATGGGTTGATTTGTTAAAGGCCTGCCTCTTTCTTGCCTCCTTACTGTGGCCAGCATGGCAGCCTGACCTTAAGGGAGGTCGGAGCCCACAGGACCAGGAACCTCCTAAGCTGGGTCAGAACTCAGAGACCACCTAGGAGGGAACGGAGTCACAGCATTGGGAACTTTGTACACAAGTTCACAAAGGAGATGAATGATCTTATGGCAAATATGGCCCCCAGAGCTCTGTGAATCATCTCAGGAGAGTAACCACCTTTGCACGTCAGCTTTTCAGTTTCACTCTCCAGGCTGTGCCAGAAAGCAAGAAAGGGCAGGTGGCTTCCCCCGCACCCCACTGGGCCCCCGACCACCTTGGCAGCCTTCCCTCCCTCCTCCACTCCCAGGAGTCGAATGACTCACCACAGCATCGCCTTCCCTTCCTGAGGCTTCAAGACTTCCCTGTCTACGGGAGTGGGCTGTACTTCCCTAGAAGGAGCCAGGGTCCAGGTTAGGAGGAGAGAAGGGCGGTGAGCAGAGATGAGGGATCCCGGGGACCTGCTCTGCGAGGCCCCGCATGTATGGAGCAGCGCTAAGGGGAGGCCATCTCCTCACCCCCTTCTGGATTCTGAATTTTGAATGTGTCACTGTGAACGTGCAGTAAGGAACCGAGTGGAATTTCTTCATGGCTTGTGCATGTGTATGTGCACATGGGCTCTTCAGCAGAGGCGGGGGAGGAAGGCAGAGCGCTGGACAGCACAGGCTGGAGGAGGGAGAGACGCTTGCAGCCAAGCACTCAAACCAAAGAGAAGAGCGGCTTCATGTAACATGGGGGTGAGGGACTCGGGCCTCCGGCCACCTGGCCTCTGTCTTGCAGCTCCCCCGAGGCCTCTTTGCAGAACCTCAGGGCTTCCAAAACCCCATGGGGAAAATGTCACCCATCCAATCCAGCCCCTCGGGGTGCAGCTGCAGGAGGGAAAATCTGCCCCATCGCCTCACAGTCCTGGCAGGGCTCTGCCCTTGTTCCCCTGGTGGCTCAGCCTTTACTGAGCCGCTCTTCCTCTTTTCAAGATTTCTTGGAGCTCTGGCAGCCACGTCAACTTGCAGCAAGGCCCGCGGTTGCATCATTCCTTGCCCCAGACAGTATGCAAGAGGGTTTGGTAACCCTGGTTCCTCAGTGCTGTTTGGCCCAGAGCTGAGACACATGGCGGGGTTGGGGGCTGCCCTCACCGTCTCCCTGTCCCCAGTCCGCCTCTGCTCACTGTGCCTGATGCCTCTAAACGAGCGACTGTAGGACACGGATGAAGCACTGTGTGGACAGAGGGGTGACAGCAGGGGAAACACAATGGTCTCTCTGGCATCTTTTAAAGGGCATTCCAAACAACAAGGATGCGGTGGGGGACGTGTGTCTATAAAGCCCTAGGGACTGGCCTGTTGGCTGGCATCAGCTCTCAGAGCCTCTTGTATCTCTGACCCCCTCGCTGACCTCCCCACTCCTCCCTAAGTCCTTGTGCAGGTGTTTAATCCCCAAAGAACTTAGGATCTCCACCCCTCTGCCCTCCATTAATGGGACCTTTGTCCCAACTTACTACTCCCTGCCTATAAGATCTCAGGATCCTTCCTGCTAGTCTCAGCCCCCAAAACTCTGCCCAAGGACTCTACAACCAAGCTTCTATACAGTCCTGCTCTGGACCGCCTTCTCTGCTCCCTTGGCATCGGGGCACAGAAAACAGAGATGAAGTAAGACCTAGCCCCACCCTGGCAGAGCTCTCCACCTGGTAGAGATGGGATCTCTATGCACTGGTCCCATAGAGCTCATGGCAGGGTGTACTGTGGGAGAGAATCGTCACAGAGCCATGGAATCCGAAGAAGGGAACAATCATATCTGTGAGCAGATCCGGGATGGCTCAGGGAGGGTCAGGAGCATAGAAGGATGAAGAGCAAGGACTCTTGAGTTGGGCAGATCAGGTGTAAACCTCCCACTTCCTGCTGTATCTCTTTGTCCATGTTAATATCTCTGTACACAGTCTCATCTATAAAGTGGGGATAACACCCCCCTTACAGGGCTGTTGAAGACTTATTGAAGATTGCGTACTTGGTGCTTCCCCCCTTGTGGATGCTCAATAGGAATTTTTTTTCCCCTTCAAGGAGCAAATAGTGTAAACTCTGTGAAGCCAAGGGCCAGAGCAGGATTTGGACATGCCTGTGGAATTAGAAGACCTGGGTTTGAATCCTGGTAAAGGATGTGGCCTTCCTAAACTTCAGTTTCCTCATCCATAAAATGGGAATGATAACAAGACCCAACTCAGAGGGTTGTTGGGAGGACTAAATGCAACAAGCTTGTAAGACGATTAGCTCAGGCCCTGGCATTTATTAAACACTTAATAAATGCTGGCTACTGTCACAGCTTGTGGGCTCATACAGCCTAGGCTGACTGGTACATGTCACTCCCCGACCCAAATCCCAGATGGCCTGTAATGACACAGGGCAAGGGTCTCTCGGGGGCCACAGTGAAAGCAACCACAACCACAACCTTCTGATGGGTCTTTCCACCAAAATGGGTCCTTTCTGCCCAAAGTCACAAAGGCTTTGTGGGAACTTGTGTTTGCTCAACTGGTTTCGACACCCCTCCTGTTCACCCCACCTCCATCCCATGAATTCTAACCTGTTTGTCTGAAACTTTCTTCCTGACGAATGGTTTACAAGTTCAGCTTCAAGTAATCAATGGTATGTATCATCCACCCGCTCCTCAATTTGGCCACTCTAAAGACGAGTCAGGTCAGACTCTGATCTCGCCTCTGAGCTGTTATGATAAATGTTATTTACAATGGTGAATAACATCTGTCCACCATATGCAGCATCTTTGCTACACACCATCACTCAAATCTCACAACAGCCCCATGAGGCTGATGGGGCAAGTCTGTCCCAGCAGGTTAAGAGTAGACGGACCTTTGGCATCTGCTCTAGGTTTTCTAAATTGTCATTTCTTTGGGTCAGCAACCTGAAAAGGGGATTATCTTGAAATTTGGTGTGCACGGAACACACTGCTGTGGGTTGATTTGGGGGTGGCTTGGGGAACGGATAGCTGCCCCTGGGGACCACCAGACCTTCATTATCATGTAATTTAACTTTCTCATTCTACAAATGGGATAAGTTGAGGCCCAAAAAAAGGGAAGCAAGTTCCCCAGGGTCATGAGACAGTCAGTGCAGAGCCTGGGATAAGACTCTGGTCTCCCCAAATTAACATTTTCTTGGCCACCTAATAGGTGCCCAAATTGAAATTTGAAAGGTTTCTTTATGGCAGGGCTTCTCAGTCTCTAATGTGCATTAATTTCTAAGAGTAAAATCATTTTTAAACTTCTTCCAAACTTTAAGTCCTTTTTCCGCAACAAACACTTATCAACGTCATGGTAAAGAACACAGTTGAGAACGGTTGGTCTCATCTTGCCTGTCTATTTACATCTAAACAAAAACCATTTTGTAAGCCAAAAATCAATCCTGATTAAGAAGACAAAGATAGGGACCTCTTCTTGGAAAAAAAAAAAAAAAAAAGTCCCAGGCTTCCCCGGTGGCGCAGTGGTTGAGAGTCCGCCCGCCGATGCGGGGGACACGGGTTCGTGCCCCGGTGCGGGAAGATCCCACATGCCGCGGAGCGGCTGGGCCCATGAGCCATGGCCGCTGAGCCTGCGCGTCCGGAGCATGTGCTCCGCAGCAGGAGAGGCCACAACCGTGAGAGGCCCGCGTACCACAAAAAAAAAAAAAGATTTGGTGTGAACATGAGATCACCTTGGCTGCAGGTCCTTCCGCCAGTACCCAATGCCTGGAAGTTGGTTCCCCACCTCTCAGCAGGGGAAGCTTGGGGGAGTGTACCAGATTGAATCTTTCAAAGATGGCTGCAAAAATCTCTCCTGTCCCACATTCTTTTCTACAATGCAGACTTGCTAAGATGTTATTAGGAGGCAGAATCACTTTCCCTTCCCCTTGAGAGGCAGGAAAGTAATGCTGTGACTTCTGGGGCTGAGTCATAAGAAGTGATGCAGCTTCTGCCTTTTGCTCACTGGAAATTCATAGTCATGTAAGAAGTCCAGCTACCCTGAGGCGGCCATGCTGTGAGGAAGCCCAAGCCCCATGCAGACGCCACATGTAGGTGCTTCAGTCAGTAGTCCTGGCCTTGAAGTCAAATCAGCCCAGTACCAGCCACGTAAGTGAGGGAAACTGCAGATGATCCCAGCCCTGTGGACGAAGGATGTCGCCCGCCTTTCAGTAAACAAAGGATGTTGTGGCCATCGAGTCATCAGCCACTCTAGCTGTCCCAGACTGTGCACCCTCAGGGGATTCAGGATGGAGAAAAGCAGGATACTGGCCCTAGATAGCTAAGGTTCATAACAAAGGAATGATTTCAGTGAGCCCAGACTATTGCATCTTCCCATACATAGAAAAGCACTAAATGTATTAACTTTATTAAATTAATTAATTTATTAATATCTGTTTTTCCTTAATTTACAGTAATCTTTTGATGTTCCAACTACCTGGGGTTTTGTTGCAAAAACTCCTACGTATCCTGGCTCCTCCCTTACCTCTTCAAAGCCGTCCCTCATAGTTATCTGAGAGGCTGTCTTCTGGGCTTAAGCCCTCAGTACGTCCACCAAGTAAAATATAATTCTCAGCTTTTAAGTTGTGCCTTTTTTCAGTCGACAGCTCCCTGTTGAGTCACCCCCAGGCTTTGAGTCTTCCCAGCTGAGGTCCCAGATGTCACGGAGTAGTGACAAGCCATCCCCTTTGTGCTCTGTCTAAATTCTTGACCCAGAGAACCTGTGGGCATAATAAAAATGGCTGTTGTTTTGAGCCAGTAAGTTTTGCGATAATTTGGCATACAGCAATAGGAAGTGGATTGTGCGTAACACAGGCATGAGTAAGCATGTTTAAGTTGAGGCTTTAGATTGGTATCAATGTTCTCTTTTATATAGAGAGGGGATTCTCTTCTGTATGCTTTTTTGTTTGGCACTCAACCTTTTGATGGAGGACTCATTTACTCAACAATACATGTGAAGATATAGCTATATGCAGGATCAAAGAGACAAAGCACTAATATGGTACCATCTGCGTGGAGTTTCTATTCTATGTGGACACTTAGACAAATGCTAGTGTCACACAACTGGAAATACTCAACAAGAAGGAGTGACCAGGGGAGGAAAAAGGCAGAGAGACGCCCCTGGGTAACCAGGAAATAAATAAAGCTCTGAGAGCTTCAAGTCATGGAGACAGTAAGTCAACGGCTTGAAGCCAGAAATGGTTTTCCAACCAGCCGTGACTCTGAAAATCCCATGCGTGGCACAACATTAACCTGCTCTTTCGGATAGTCTTTCATCTTTTTCAGAGACATCTCAGGGGCCCGTCCTTCCTCTTGGGAGGCAGCCAGTTCTCTGCAGAAATCACTTCATCAGCAGGAGCTGAGGCATTTCACATGCAACTGTATAATTCTGGAAACGTGGCTTGAAACATATTCTCCCCTGCGTGAAGAAAGAAAAATTGCAGAGCAACGTTTCTGTAAGCACCAGCTAGGCAGCTTTGGATGCACTTTCTTTTTTTTCTCTTTCCCTTTCGAAATGGCAGAATCTTGGCACCTGCATATGAGCATAATGCAGCCCTGTTGATTTCCTGATAATGTGAGAAGCAGCTGAAGTCACTATGGGCAATCCCAAAGGAAGCCCAGGGATGGAGAGACGTTGTGGCAATTGCAATGGAGAGGGGACCCAGCAAGACGGGCAGAGGCCAGGATTCTGGAGAGAAGCAAAGACCAGGGACATTTAAGAACCAGGATGTGGGTTTTGTGCTGTGTGTTGCTACCATTGAACGAGTTCTCCTCCCATACCACTGCTGTTTCCAATCCCCCCCACCTCCGAATCCCCTGAGAGCTATATGCAAGTAGTGTTTTGAGAAAATGAAGGGAAATGGGCCACCATCCATGTCTGCGTGGGTGCTGGAAGGAGAAAAGCAAGAAACCTTGAAAAGTGTCTACAGAGCCTTCACAAAACGGAAAATTGGAACAAGAGGCGCCCAGCAGTACTGTCCAGGGAAAGGCGCAGGACACAGTGTGTGCAAGGGGTTTGAGGCATTTGTAGTCAGATACCACAGGTCAGGTAAAATATCAAATGAATACTGTCTGTGAACTGTGTTTGGATTCTGATTTGAAAACCATCTACGAAAACTATGAGCTTTCCTGCAGGAACAACCTTCCTATAAGAACATGCCTCTCAAAGGATCTCCTTCATCTCTTCATCCCTCTCCAGATGTGGAGAGGAAACACAAGAAGTGCCTGGTTCAGAGCCTCAAACCCTACTTCACGGATTCAAAATGCCCAGATGCTATCGAATTGCCATGGCCTGTAGCCAAGCACAGATGGTAGTTTTGTGTGTTGGCTACTGCACTGTCCCTGCCAGCCTGCAGGAGGTGAAGCAAGGCTTACAGAAGGATGCTCCCTCAGATGGAAGCAGCACTAAAAGCAGCAGGATGAGGGGGAAACCATCCTAATAAACACATTTTGGATAATACAAAAAGAAAAAAAAAAGTAATTGAGACAATCAGAGAAATTTTAATGTGAACTGGATCTTAGGAATTATTAACTATGTGTATGTGATAATGGCATTGTATATGGGTGGGTGGTCATTGTTGTTTGTTTTTTGCTTTAGTCCTTTTCTGTTACAGACGCATACAATATTTATGGGTGAAATAATATGCTGTCTGGGATTTGCTTTCAAAATATCTGGGAAAACACACACATACACACACACACACACACACACACACACACACACACACACAGAAAAGCCCCAGACCCAGGCAACTTTCCAAGAGAATTCTACCAACCCTTCAGGAACAGATCATTACGAGGCTGTCTAAACTGTTCAGAGTACTAAAAATGTATTCACGCATTTTATCCTCACAACACCCCTTGAGGCAGATGGTATCCTTAGTTTACATGAGGTCACTAAGTCACAGAGATGGGAAGAATCTACCCAAGATCACACAGCTGGAAACCAGGAGATGCAATCCAATGCAACTGCCCCTAACCTAGCGTTGCCATATATGGTCCTTGTGAACAGTGCCCCCTGGAGTTGTGCAGAACATAGCACAGCATTTAAGAAGGTTCATGTGGGGCTACATTTACCACTTTGCTACTCAGCCTTTCATGAATGAATAAGTGAGTGAATAAATACATGATAAATGAATGAATGAATTCTCTTCATTTCTTCTTACTAGTTTCACCCTCAGCAGATGGGTTCCCCAAATCCTGCCTTGTTCTCAAGAAGGCTGAATGCAGAGATATCCACGCCAAGACTGCACTGATGGAGTCCCAGCAGCCTCTTTGCTAATTCGGCTTTCCTGCTTGGCAATAAATCAATTGTCAAAATTGCCTGTTGGGAGATGAAGTGATGTTGGCCTGGCTCCATTTGGCTACCCTGGCTTCCTCCAACTGCGAGGGACAGCAGTCAGTCCCCTGTCAGAAATCCTAGCCTGAGATGAAGGCAGAAGCCACCCACGCAGTGGGGTGCAAAAGAAGCCAGAGGCCCACCTGCCCCAAATTACTTATCTTCCCTGGACTGCTTCTGTGCTTGAAACTCCTGCCATTGGCTTCTCTTGCCTGGATTAAGTAAGGCCCAGTCAGAAATGTGAATCTGTAAGCTGAGTAAGAGCTCACAGCTAATCCTTGGTAACACTTTTACATGAACACAGACTCCTTTACCGTCGAACTAAGAGAAAGCAGCACCAAGAGGAATGCGATCCAGATAGATGTGATGAGAGGAGAGAGGAATCCCCAAAAGCCCTAAGTGTGGAGGGCTTCCCTGGCGGCACAGTGGTTGGGAGTCCGCCTGCCGATGCAGGGGACGTGGGTTCGTGCCCCGGTCCGGGAGGATCCCACATGCCACGGAGCGGCTAGGCCCGTGAGCCATGGCCGCTGAGCCTGCGCGTCCGGAGCCTGTGCTCCGCAACGGGAGAGGCCACAGCGGTGAGAGGCCCTAATACCAAAAAAAAAAAAAAAAAGCCCTAAGTGTGGACCTTTTTGTTGAGAGGAATCTGCCATTTTGACGGGCGGGATGGTCTGGAAAGATGGAGCCACGTGCACATGTGGACCTCAGGAGACCAACAAAAGAGGATCTGGGAGACTGGGAGCTGTGAGAAGAGAGAAGACTGAGAGAGAGCTGTGATGGATATGATGGTTTTCATTTTTGTGCATCCAGCATTCCTTCCCATGCTCTTTCCTTTGGATTCTTTGTGGAATTCTTCCCATTTCATAAGGTCCCTGGCGTGGCTGTCAGTCACAGTGTCTGACCCTCATGAAATGAGTATGTGACACAGGCAAATAATCAGTTAGACTCTTTCATGAGATTGATACATGGACTTTGAGAGACAGAGGTCTGCCATAACAACATTTTATTTTTAATTTTTAAATTTAAATTTTCAAAAAATTCAAACTTCCAGAAAAGTAGCAAGAATAGTACAATGAACTTAATTTGTCCTTCACCTAGATTAACATTTTGCCAAAATTGCTTTATCGTTCTCTTTCTCTCTTCCCCTTCCCTGCATATCCTATTCTAGTCTAGCCTAGTCTAGTTTATTCTGATATTATATTGTTATCGCTGTAATTATTACAGTATTTGAGAGTAAGTTGCAGATGTCGTGCTCCTTTATCCCTAAATACTTTGCATTTATCTCTTAAGAACAAGGATGTTCTTTTATATAATCACAATACAAAGATCAAATTCAGAAAATTTAACATTGATACAATACTACTGCTTAATATACAGTACGTTTCTTTATAACAATTTTTTCCAAGATCCAATCCAGGATCCAGGTTGGTGCATTGCATTTAATTTTCATAAATGAAAGTGAGACTCCTTAGTCTCATTTAGTTTGAAGAGCTCCTTAGCCTTTCTTTGTCTTTCATGACGTTGGATTTTTTTTAAATATAGGCTAGTTGCTTTGTAGAATGTTCCTGAATTTAGGTTTGTCTGATTATCTCCTCATAATTGGATTCACTTTTGGCAGGAGTGCCAGCAGCTTCCTTGACAGTCATGTAGAGAGAACCAGTCGGAGGAATGAAGCTTCACAGAAACTAGATGAACAGGGAGATGGAGAAAGAAAACCCTCATGAGCCCCTTGATCCAGCTGAAGCCACTTGCAGCTCTGGAGCCTCCAGTTACATAAGCTAATAAAGTCCTCTTTTTTTCTTAAGTTAATCTGAGTTGGGTTTGTGGCTACTCTGACTCACTCATACCTTAGGCAATAATCTTGGGCCACACAGTATCCTCAGAAGGCCCCGTATCAGTAGGATCAAATGAATTCTGACTAGAAGAACATACCCCAGGCATCCCTCACTAAATTGACCATCTCTCCTAGTAACAACCCAGAGACCACACAGAGGTAACCACTTTCTTTCACTCGATTCCCACCTGAGGATCCTTGTCTCTGGACAAAGCCCATAACCAGCTACGGTCCGTCCAAGACCTAGTGGCACAAGAGGAATCTTTCTTTTCTCTCTGCTTCAGGACCTCCCCATGGAGACCTGCCCTCACTGTGTGAAAATAATATGGTTTATGTTGAACACCTGCTTTCCTTCTGGGAGTCTGAAATATTGGTACCTGCTAGGCAAAGAGTGCCTATATGACCAGTCTCCTGTACAAACCTGGGCACTGAGTCTCTAATGAGCCTCACTGGTAGACAACATTTCACATGTATTGTCATAACTTGCTGGATGAATTAAGCATGTCCTATGTGACCCCACTGGGAGAAGATCTTGGATGCTTATGCCTGGGTTCCTCTGGACTTTACTCCATGTACCTTTTCCCTTTGTGATTTGGCTTTGTATCCTTTCCCTGTAATAAACGTTAGTCGTGAGTACAACTCTGCACTAAGTCCTGTGAGTCCTCCTAGCAAATCACAGGAAATGCGGGTGGTCTTGGGACCCCCAACACAGATACCTTCCAGGATCTTAGATTTACCCCCTGGGGCTGGTCACACTGGGGCTTTGTCAGTGGAGAAGATGAGTGGAATGGCTGTGGGGAATGTCAAAACTCCACCGGACATATTGATACTTCGTTGACAGTATCAATTAATCATACCAACTTAACTTAATGGAATGCCATGGACACCAGAAAACATCTGTAGGGTTTTTGTCACTTGCAACCAGAGTTTCCTGACTCATTACAAAGGTAATAAAGATGTGTGTCATAACTGGAACAGAAATCTAAATTGTAAGGAACCTTACTGATAATCTCATTCAAATCCACCCTCCTCTTTGACCTCTTATTCTGTCAAAGAGAAGCCACAATATCATGGAGAGGAAGTATAGGGGAAAATTCCAAATGCCAGGGACAGGACGACCAGCACATTGCCCCATCGCAGGCAGCTTTGCACTCTGAATAAGGGTGGATGTCCCCACGGTCGGAAATATTGGAGATTCAGCAGATGGTCTTAAGATCCAGGGAGCTCCTGGTCACTGTAATTGGATGCAGTGGTTCAGTCTGAAACCCCGTGTAATGATTAGTCAAATCCATTTCACCTGCCTTCACTAATCAAGGTTGTTTTAATACTTGCATGTCCTCCAAGCTGGACGTAGCCTAAACAATAAGATGTTTGCCTGAGCTATTTTCCAGGAACTTGGGATCAGCTGTGTCTAGTTGGAGCTGAGCTGGTTAAGACTGGATGGGACCACTGACCCTCCAACTGGGCACGCACGAGTGTCCGCTAGGTGACCTTCTGAACGTGAAACCTGGAGCCTAGTTACGCCTACGCAGAATGATTACCACAACTTTTTCCAATCAGCTTTCCCCAAGCCTCAGAGCGCCCTGCTGCTTTATTCATTATCCTGTAAGTACCCTAGCCCCTTGCCTTCCTGGAGGCGGATTTGAGATTTTTTTTTCTCCTGTCGTCTCCTCTGGCTGCCTTGCGAATAACCCCTCTTTTTGCTGCCAACCTCTGTGTCTCAGGGTTTTGGCTTGCTGCGCGTGGGGTAAAAAGAACCTGGGTCAGCAGCAAGATCAGTGGTCGATTCTCTCATCACAGAATGAGCAGGGGAAATAACTCCCAAGTCTGTTTTCACTCTGGTGTTTTCTGTCTCTGTATATCCCTCTGGGCTATGTCCATGTGAGGAGGAGAAAGTAGAAACGGCTCTAAACAACTGAACACCCAACTGTTTGCCACAGTGTTTGACACCTAGGATCCCCAGACATGTGAACATAGCCATGGCTAAAGAAGACCTTGGTGGAAGAGTCTGCGCTATCTAAGCACTCTGACTCCTCTGACCTCTTGCCATCGTTCTCCCATTTCAATCAATCAATGATCCCAGTCTTGGGTTGGGACAGAGAGAGAAGAAAGTAAAAGGCATGGTTTATGCCCTAAAGGAGCCTGCATGTAGCTGGGGACAGGAACAATGAGAAGCAGACTTGTGGGTGTTCTGAACCATATATGCAGTAGGATTTGGGGAATGGGGTTGTCATTGTGGGCTGAAGTGACCAGGGAGGCTCTCTGAGGCTTCCAGAACGTGAATAGGTCTTGAGAGAAGAGTGGGCTTTAGACTAACATGGGAGGCGTAAGAACTGCAGCAAAGCGAGGCACAGCACGGCGATGAAGTCAATCTGTTGGGGGCTCACCAGGGAGCCCAGTGGCTTTGGTGGGAGAAAAGCAGGAAACCCGGCGGCTGGGAAGGGGGAGGGGATCTTGAAAACAGACCAGTGCAAAGAGTTTGAGGCTGATGAGGGCCGCCGGCCATCGGCAGGTGATGCAGGCTCTTGGGCAGTGGTGTGGCCGGGGTCCAGCTGAGGTGCACAGAGGAAACTGGCGACAAGGAGAATGACTAGGAGACCTGCCCACCCTGGCCTCCCGCCCCCACTGCCCCAGAAACGGAGGTCTGGGTTTGGAGGCCCGAGGGAGGAGAATTCTGCCAGAACTAAGAAAATGGACAGATTGGAGAAGCCCAAGTGAAGGCAGAAATGGCAGAGCTACAGGATTAAGCGCAGGGAATAGACGCAGAGACCAGGGTCTTCTGCCCGGGAGATGCGAGTTCCTCGTGCACGCTTGAGCACACACAGTCACTCCGTCTCTGCGTAACCCTCACACTGGCACCCTGAGGTGGTTAGGAGAGGAGCTCTTAGCACTGATGTTCCTCAGCCCCTTCCAGCACAAACACTGGGCTTGGTCAGAGAACCCTGCCACTCCCTCTGTGCCGGGAGCTCCCTCACACATCAGTACTCCCCTGGGACTCTGCTCCCTACACCCTCAGGGCTGAGAGGCACTGGGAGGGAGTTGGTGATACCAGGAGGCAGAGTCTGAACCTGATCAGAGAGGCTGCGCTGGAGGCCAGAACCAGACTAGGGATTCCAGGCCTGGGCAAAGCCTCACCACCTTCCTCCTCAGGCAGGAAGTGCCTTCGAGGTGCTTTGGAGAACCGTGCTGCACAGTAATTACACCTGGTGACCCCAAGTACTTTTTCTTCTTAATTTTCAAAAAAAAAAAAGACGTCATTTTCAGCAAGCTGTGAGCACTTTCTACCTTGCTAAATGATACTTTTTGATCATCCCTGTTGAACTGTGGGTCCATTAAGTGCAACATCTACTACTTACTCATCTCTATCATCCCCAGGGTCTAGATAATTCCTGAGATATACTAAGTGTACAGTAAATATTTCCATGTCTTACTAATTGATTCTGATTTCAAATGTGATAGCACTCATGTTGTTATAAAGTCCCAACAACACACAAATGATTAAACTTAGTAAGCAGAAAGTTTTCCCAAACACAAGTCCATCCTCCTTCCCCACCAGTAACCATTACTAACAGTTTGGCAGCAAACATTCTTTTATACTAGGGCTTTTCAACCTTGCATTATTGGCATTTGGGGCCAAATAATTCTTTGTTGCAGGGTGATCAGCAGCGTATCTGGCCTCTACCCAGAAGATGCCAGTAGCATCCCCTCAGTTGTGACGACCAAATAATATTGCCAGACATTGCCAAATATGGGAGGGAGGAGGCAAAATCACCCCTAGTTGAGAACTACTGTTCTGTACACCTAGAGAGAGAGTGAAACAAGTAAGCGAGAGCAAGAGAGCAGGGATAGTGATGGGCAGACATAGGTATAGACAACTATATATAAATGGTTGAATGTAAATTACAATTCCTGTGACTGACCCCCAGTCTTCTGTGGCCCTAGTCCACACATTCATTCTTTCCTTCATTCACCCAACATTTATTGATTACTTACTATGTTCTAGGAACTGTGCTCAGAGATATGTTTAAAATACTAAACTATAACTAAATTTTCCACCATCACCCCCTTCTTCACAGATATTTTCACCCCCATAATGAAGAAGGGAGTGGGAGCGAGTCACCCCCAGGTTGGGGACAGTTACCCCTCAATCTCCCACCAGCACTGACCAGCTCCCTCCCTGCCTGCTGCTCACATACCTCCATCCGACTGGCTGCCATATTGGGCTGGGAAGTGAGAAAAGGGCAGACAAGAGCAGAGAAAAGGGAAAGGTGTTTCCTGTAACCTTGGCTTTCCTTGGAAAGGGACGGCTGGAATAAATGCCATCAGGAAAGCCAGGGGCTCTGGGTCCTTTCATACCACCCCCCATACCCAGCCCCACAAATGCCAGCTCCCTGCAAGAAATCCCTAAGCACTTTGTGAGAATCCCCCTCCCAGAAGTACTTACTCCCGGTCTTACTCAATTGGTCTCAGCCGTAACTGTTTACCTGGCCTGGTCTGTGAGCGGAATCCGTGGCCACCTTCAAATCAAGCAACTGGCACAGCCTCTGGTCATTGACTAATTCAAAGATTACAGTTCAGCAAACAGCAGCATGTTAATTTTTAATTTCACTGTGTTGACTGGTGATCAGGCTCCCTCCTTGTCCTGTAACCGATAATTACCTTATTAGAAGAAAGCAATCCTTGCCCCACAATAAAAGCCCACCTGTCTGGCCTTCCTGGCCCTAGCTGGGCTTCTTGAAGCAACTCCCATATTGATTTGACCTTAATCAACAGAGAAGTAAGGGACTTCTGCTGAGTTGGGCAGCCCTGGATCAACATGAGACCCCCCACGGCAGGGTACGGTCCTCTAAGGATTAAAGAGGATTCCCAGTGCAGGTCTTTGAGTCCTGGGCTTTTGGGTAGGGACAGGGCCTTTCCTCTGACAAGGAGAGATGTGACAGAGAAAGTGTTTCTTCCCATGGCTCCCAGCTCATGATAAGTCATCTCCTGCCACAGACACGCTTGCACCCTGGAGCCGGGTTGTTCTCAGCAGTGATTTCATCACAGCCCATGAGGCCAGAAAACAGCAGGGACACGGCGTCACCTCATCCTCACGAGCGCTCTGCTGTTTGCTACGTCCCTTATTCACATGGACGTCGTGCCATCCCCTGGGAGCTCATGGCCAGCACCCCATGGTGTGGAAAAGGAAACTGAGGGTAGTTGTCCTGCCCAGGGTTCCACAGTTCACATCCTTACAGCGTCCGGTCATTTAGCGCAGACATCTGCCAGAGATGTTCCTCTTTCTTTTCTCGTTTTGCTTTTTGGGGCCAAATCGGTTTCAGTTTGAAAACCATGATGAATTTAACATAGATCAAGGAGAGCCACAGAAGCAATTTTTCTCATCTGAGATGGAATAGATGCTTCAATTTTATGCCATTCGTCTACCCTGTCACTAACTGCAGAGAAAACATTCTAACACTGTCCTTTGTGACCTCAAGCTGTTTCCCTGGGGCTGTTGAACTAAAAAAATAGAAAACCAGAGAAATGAAAAATGTGGTCAGAGCCTGAGTGAAACTGAATTTTAGAGACCCGTGGAGCAGGAATTCATTCAGTTGGTTACTTTAAATAATTCACTCCAGAAAAAGACTGGTTGAGTACAATGTGTACATATATATATATATATATATATATATATATATATATATACATACATAGCTATAGATATAGATATAGATAGATATATATAACCAACTTCAACTTCATTCACAGTTGTTGGCAAGTGACTAAAAAAAGAAAGGAAACTTTGTTCAATGCTCAGAGATGAATGTACCAAATTATACAAGCCCCACAGAGTTTGAGAACTGCAGGGAGATGAGGAAATCAGTAGAGCAAGCCAGAGCTGGTAACTTTTTTCTGGGGAGCTACTTCTGAGTTTCCTTAAACTTCATGGTCACCAGAGACATAGCTGGAAAAGGAAAGGGTGGGGTGATAACTGAGTTATCATCTTCCTGCTTTCGGGTCTCACAAGTCTCTCCACTGCCTATAGCAGCGTTTCCATGAACATCAACCTCATGGGATTCCTCCCTGCGAAGATTTGCCTGGTCACACATGTTTGGGAAATGCTACTCTGGGATAGTTGCAATGCACATCTGCATACTGAATGCTGCTGCATTGAGAAGTCCTGGAATCAAGAAAACCTCATTCACTTTAAATCCCTAGTCTTATTTTGTGATGGTATCAGGTAGGACATAGCTGCAAGTCACAGAAACGCTGACTCAAAGCTGGGATAAACAATAAGGACGTTGATGCCTCACAGAGCAGCTGTTTAGAAATGTGGAGCAGGCTCTGGAGACTTTTCCTCTTGTTCTTCTACCCTGGCATCCTCTGTGTCAGCTTCCACCTCAGGCAATCATGAGATGGCTGTCCCAGGAGTCACATTTAGGCCTGATACAGGGCAGAGAAGGAAGAACGACCATCTCTTCATGAGCAGAAACTTTCCCACAAGGACCCTGGCATCCATTCAGGTCTCGTTGGCCCGAATTAGGTCACAGGTCCACTCCTGAATCAACCATTGGCAAAAGGAACAGCCTTTCCATCTGATCAGTCCCCCTCAGGCTGGTGGTGGGTCAGCTCCCCTGAAGCAGGTGGCTGCAGGGAGCAGGAAGGCATCTCTGAACAAAACTGGAGCTCTGTTAGGAGACAGAGGAGAAGGGGTGGGCCGCCCACAGCATCTACTCCAAGTGCAGACCCCCTTTTACACCCAACACCTGTCATGGTTCATTCTCTGTGTCACTTGACTGGGCCATAGGGTGCCCAGACATTTGGGCAAACATTACTCTGGGTGTGTCTGGGAGGGTGTTTCTGGGTGAGCTGGTAGACTGAGTAAAGCAGCTGCTCCCTCCACCGCCTCAGTGTAGGTGAGCTCATCCAGTCTATTGAAGACCCGAACAGAATGAAAAGGCAGAGTAAAAAGTGAGCTCCTCCAGCCTGGCTTCCTGAGCTGAGACATGGGTCTTTTCCTTCCTTTGGACTCAGACTGAAACATCATCTCTTCTTGCGTCTCGAGCCTGCTGGCTCTCAGACTGGAAATTATACTGTCTCTTGGGTCTCCAGCTTGCTGACTGCAGATCTTGAGACTTCTCAGCCTCCCATTCCTTATAATAAATCTCTTTATACACAAACATTTACTACTAGCTCTTTTTCTCTGGAGAATCCTAACACACACTTCGACATGCCCCTTAGAACTTAGACTCCTTTGTATACTTTGGAAAATGCTGGAAAGCTTTCCTGGATAGAGTTCAAATTCCCTCATATAGCATTCAAAGCCCATGATGGTGTGGGTTTTCTAGTCTCTGTACCAGTCTCCTCTCTAGCAAACCAAATGATCTTTCAGGCTCCCGTGCTTTTGCGTGTGCTATTCTCTCTGCTAGTTGCCCCTTTCCATCTTTCAAGTGCCTACTCAGCTTTCAAGCATGGTTCAAACATCACATCCCTATGAATCCTTCAATGAACCTCAACCTCCAACCCCACAATCAGACTGGGTCCTGGCTCTGCCGCTTACTAACAGTGGAAACTTGGGCAAGTTACTTAACCTCTGTGCCTCAGTTCCCTTTCCAGAAAATGGGGATCCTACAAGTAGATACCTCACAGGATTGAATGAGCCAATGCCCGCAAGGGTGTGGAACAGTGCCTGTCTTTCCTCTTTGAGACTTGACACAAGTGGTGCGTGACCAGTGCTCAGCAAATGCTTGGTGAATGAGCGGCTGGATGGTCATCAGACCTGAGGAACTGAAATCCGACAAGGTGAAGTGAGCTGCACCACATCCCACTGGCCTGAAGAGCCAGAACTTGGAAGCTGGCTCTCCTGACTGTGGAAATCAGGAGCTCTGCCTGACACCTAGAGACGGCTTCCCACCGTGTGACAGCATTCCTGTATTCAACTCAACAAATCTTTATTGGATACCTATGTGCCAGATGCTCTGCTGGGCGTCCATGATGCAGAAGACACAATCGCTCAAGACATCAGAGAGCCTTCCCCCGGACCAAAGCCTCTGCTGGCCTCCCTGCATCCCAGCATCTGCCCCTCCCATCCATCCTTCAAGACACCATCAGAATGGCTTCTTGAGCCTAAGCGCTCCAAAAGTCATGACCTCGTGGGAATAACGTGTACACTCCTGGGCTGCCACTCTGGTAACCCAACCAGCGTCTAACTTCATTTATCCACACAGGCTCATATCTGACCACTGGGCAACCCACCCCTTTTCACTATTGGGACAAGACTTCTCACCACACCACAAACCACACAGCAGCAGACTTGTTTCCATCTCCACATCTTTGCTCATTGGGTACATCCCACCTGACAAACTTCCTTTGCTTCTCAACCTGTAACTGGTGTAACCTACCTCATTAACCTAGAGTTGTCACTTCTTTGTTCAGTGAAGCCCCTGGAGGTCCTGTATGTTCCTATTAGAACTGTAGTTCCCTCTTTATACTCTCCTAAAACTTGTCTAAGAACCCCAGGAGCTTTCTAAGTACAAATGAAACAACAACTAGAAAATCGAATCTGTTCGCTTCCGCCTTTGCTTCTTGTCCCCTCATGCAGTTGCAGGATCACCCCTAAACCATCTTAGAACATTTGTGTGTCCCAACCCAGGTCGCAGGTTATAGCTCCTATAATCACACCTCTCTGCTGAGCCATGTCCCCAGAGCTGGATACCAGTGGCTTTCCACAGCCGCCTGTGTTGAGCCCACATCACAAAGCCAGGCACTGTAGACCTTGGAGTGATTTTCTACCAGTCAGTCAAAGGTCCTGGCCACCCCAGGCCACCCCCATCAGATTCCCCTCACTTCCAAGCTCTGCAAAAGGAGGTGGTGCTCTGGTCCTTTCCCATCCAGAAGATTCCTGGGCCTCAGATGCCAGCTGACCCAACCTTCTTCAGAGCACTGCACACCAGGGGGGGAGCAGCTGCTATTAAGCCACAAAAGAAAACAAGTCCCCACTTCACCTTCCTCTCAGGCCAGTAGGGGTCTGCTTATACTTGCTTAACTGAGAGATGCCATTTGAAGGACTCTCCGTGAACCAAGGCGACCAGCCGTGTCCATCTTCTTGGAGGCATGCTGGCAGCCTCCCACTCCAAGCTGTTTTTTAGATTGCTCCTACCCAGTAACTTATTACACAGTCATATCAAATCTCATCTTTCAAGGTCCTGAGAAAGTCTAAAATAATGTCTCTCTTCTAAAATTCCTATAGAGCTTATATCTAGTCCATATCTTGATTTACTCATTTACCGAGCAAACATATATTGAGCACCAACTATGTACCAGGCCCAGACACTAGGGATGCAACATCAAATGGGCCACACAGCCTCTGCCTCCAGAACCTACCAAGCCACTGGATTTTATCAATATACTGGACTGTGTCACACTGTCAGTGTGACAGTTGCCAGGGACCTGTGCCCACAGCTGTAATGCCAGAAGGCCTGCTAGCTCTATGACAGTTAATCTGGTGGATGACAGATAAGGTTGCAGCTTCGATCAAATTGCAGCCCAGCTTCTGCCTTCCCGTGATCATTACTGTAACATCTTTCTTACCCCAGCCCATCAGCACCTGCTCCATTTGGAAGGACCATGAAACAGGATCTCCTACCAT